CCCTCCCCCCCCGCGTGGGCCCGGCTCCCTCGAGCCGCGCCCACTCACCTCGGCTCGGCGTAGGATCGAGCGGACGACTGCGCTGGCTTCCCCACGGACAGGCGTGGAGGCGGGCGTCCGGCGACGGAAGTGTCCCGGAGCGGGCCTCGGCCCGACCTTGACGTTGGTCGCCGCCGATTCGCCGCGGACGCTGGCTTCCTTGCCGATTGGGTTTTAAACAGTGTAATCGGAAGGCCGGGCGCGGTGTCTCACGCCTGCAATCCCGGCGCTTTGGGAGGCCGAGGCGAGAGGATGGCTGAGTCCGACGGTTCGAGACCAGCCTGGGCAACTTGGTGAGACTTCGTCTCAGAAAATTAGCTGGCCGTGGTGGCGCGCGCCTGCAGTTCCAGCTCCTTGGAAGGCTGAGGCGGAAGGATCGCCGGAGCCCAGCGGGTCGAGGCTGTCGTGGCCGGGAGCAGCCACTGCACTCCAGTCTGGGTGACCGAGTGAGACTCCGACTCAAAAAAATTAATTAAAAGGAGACCAAGAAGACATGGTTACAAAATGTGGTCTCTGGGGTGATCTTGGAACAGAAAGAGGACATTAGTGAAAAATAGAAGAAATGTGAATAAAATATTTTATATAGCAATATTATATTAATGCAAATACTTATTTGGCCAATTAATAAATACTGTACTAATGTAAGATATTAATAAGGGAAACTGGGTATACGTACTATATTCCCAATTTCTGTATTATCTTCCCAATTTTTCTGTAAATCTAAAACTGTTCCACAATTACGGTTTTTGCTTGTTTTACATTTTTTCTTTTTCTCTTTTTTTTTAAATTTTGAGTAAAAGTCTCTCTCTGTCACCCAGGCTGGAGTGCGGTGTCACGCTCACGGCCACCGTAGCCTTAACCTGTTGGACTCAGGCAATCCTTCCGCTTCAGCCTTCCAAGTAGCTGGAACTACAGATATGCGCCACTAAGCCCAGCTAATTTTTTGATTTATTGTAGAGATGAGGTCTCGCTGCCCAGGCGGGTCTCGAACCCGTGGGCTCAGGCAGTCCACTCACCTCAACTTCCCAAGGGCACAGGATTACAGGCTGAGCCATCAAGCCCGGCTGGGACATTTATTTAAAAGGACACCCGTAGTTCTGGCTATTTGGAAGCCTGAAGCAGAAGGATTGCTGAAGCCTAGCAGTTCCGCAGCTGCAGTGGCCGGGAGCGTGCCACTTCATTCCAGTCTGGGTGACAGAGTGAGACTCCAACTCAAAAAAAAAAAAAAAGACACCACGGAAGTTTAAAAAGAAGTAAAAGCCAGGCCCAGTGGCTCATGCCAGCAATCCCAGGACTTTGGGAGGCAGAGGCAGGAGGATTGCTTGAGCCCAGGAGTTCAAGACCAGTCTGGGCAACATAGCGCATAGCGAGACCTTCTCTCTACAAAAAAATTAAAAATTAGCGGAGTGTGGTGGTATGTGCCTATAGTCCCAGCTACTTGGGAAGCTGAGTCAGAAGGATCGCCTGAGCCCATGAGGTCTAGATAGCAGTAGCCGTGAGCATCCCACTGCACTCCACCCTGGGCGACAGTGTGACCCTGATTAAAAAAAAAAAAAAAAACTACGGTAAAAGACAACATAGAATTGATCAACCTAATCATTTTTTTTTTTTTTGAGTTGGAGTCCCACTCTGTCACCCAGACTGGAATGCAGTGGCACGCTCCCGGCCCCCGCAGCCTTGACCTGCTGGGCTCTGGGGATCTTTCCTCCTTAGCCTTCCAAGTAGCTGGAACTACAGGCGTGCACCACCACACCCCGCTAATTTTTTATTTATTATAGAGATTAGGTCTTGCCATGTTGCCCTGGCGGGTCTTGAACCCGCGGGCTCAGGCAATCCACTCGCCTCGGCCTCCCAAAGTGCTGGGATTACAGACTGAGCCACCAAGCCCAGCCATCTTAATCATTTTTAAGTATATAGTGCAGCAGCATTAAGCAGTCCCATTATTTACATTGTTTTGCAACCAATCTCCAGAACACTTTCATCTTGCAAAACTGAAACTCTATACTCATTAAACCATAACTCCCATTCCCCCTACCCAACCCTGGCACCCACCCTTCTACTTTCTGTGTCTATAACTCTGACAAATCTAGGGACCTCCTATAAGTGGAATCATACAGTAATTGTTCTTTTGTGACAGGCTTATCTCACTCAGCATCATGTCTCTCAGGGTTCATCCATACTGTGGCTCCGTGCCCCAAATCCTTTTTTTTTTTTTTTTTTGAGTTGGAGTCTCACTCTGTCACCCAGGCTGGAGTGCAGTGGCACGCTCACGGCCACCGCAGCCTCGACCCGCTGGGCTCAGGCGATCCTTCCACCTCAGCCTTCCAAGTAGCAGGAATGACAGACGTGCGCTAAAACACCCGGCTGATTTTTCGTAGAGATGAGGTCTCACCAAGTTGCCTGGGCTGGTTTTGAACCTGTGGGCTCAGGGATTCCTCTCACCTCATCCTCCCAAAGTGCTGGGATTACAGGCTTGAGCCACCGCACCTCGCCGGAAATTCCTTCCTTTTTAAGGCTATGAATAACCTTCTGTTGTATGGATGGACCACATTTTCCACTCACCTATTGATGAACATGTGGGTTGCTTTTATCACTTGGCTATTGTGAATAATACTTCTGTGAGCACAGGGGTAAAAATGTCTCTTTGAAATCCTGTTTTCAGTTCTTTTAGGTATATACCCAGGAGTGGAATTGCTGGATTGTACAGTAACTCTTTTATCTTTTTTTTTTTTTTGAGTCAGAGTCTCACTCTATCATCCAGGCTGGAGTGCAGTGGCACGCTCAAAGCCACCGCAGCCTCGACCTGCTGGGCTCAGGCGATTCTTCCACCTCAGCCTTCCAAATAGCTGGAACTATAGACGTGTGCCACCACGCCCAGTTAATTTTTCTTGATTTATTGTAGAAATGAAGTGTTGCCAAGTTGCCCAGGCTGGTCTCAAACCCTTGGGCTCAGGCAATCCTCTTGCCTCGGCCTCCCGAAGTGTTGGGATTACAGACATTTTATATTCCCACAGCAGCGCACAAGGGTAGTATTTTCTCTTCATCCATGCAAAATCTTCCTTTTTTTTTCTTTAATAATGACCATCCTAATGGCGTGAAGTGATATCTCACTGTGACTTTTTGTTTGTTTTTGAGTCAGGATGTGTCTGTTGCCAGGCTGGAGTGCAATGGCACGATCACGGCTCACCATACCCTCGACCTCGTGGGCTGAGGTGATACTTCCTTGTCAGTCTCCTGAGTAGCTGGGTCTACAGGCACATGCCACCATGCCTGGCTAATTATTCTATTTGTTGTAGAGATGGGAGTCTAGCTCTGTTGCCCAGGCTGTTCTCAAATTGAGCTAGAGCAATCCTCCCACCTTGGCTTCCGAAAGTCCTGAGCCTACAGGCATGACCCACTGTGCCCAGCTGAGGCCTATATAATTATTATAAAACATTTTTTTTTGCAGTGTAACTAAAGTTGGTTTCACATACAGATTTTTGTTGTTCACTTTTTTGTTTTGTCTTTTTTGTTGATGTTTCTGTTTGGCTTTGTCTTTTGCTTTTCTTTCTTCTACATTCAAGAAACTGATAGCACAGTGGTGAGATGGGCTTTTTTATTTTTAATTTAATTTAATTTAATTTTTTTGAGTTGGAGTCTCTGTCACTCAGACTGGAGTGCAGTGGCCACTCCCGGCCACCACAGCCTCAACCTGCTGGGCTCCAGCGATCCTTCCGCCTCAGCCTTCCAAGTAGCTAGAACTACAGGTGCGCACTACCACGCCCAGCTAATTTTTGATTTATTGTAGAGATGAGGGCTTGCCAAGTTGCCCAGGCGGGTCTCGAACCTGCAGGCTCAGGCAATCCACTCACCTCAGCCTCCCAAAGTGCTGGGATTACAGGCTGAGACACCAAGCCCGGCCTATTTTTTAATTTTTTAAATTTTTTATTTTTGAATTGGAGTCTCACTCTGTTGCCCCGACCGGAGTGCAGTGGCCGCTCCCAGCCACCACAGCCTCGACCTGCTGGGCTCCGGCGATCCTTCTGCCTCAACCTTCCAAGTAGCTGGAACTACAGGCGTGCGCGACCACACCCAGTTAATTTTTTGATTTATTGTAGAGATGAGGTCTCGCCAAGTTGCCCAGGCAGGTCTCGAACCCGCAGGCTCAGGCAATCCACTCACCTCAGCCTCCCAAAGCATGGGATTACAGGCTGAGCCACCGAGCCTGGTTGAGATGGACTTTTTTAACAAGTGCTTCAAACCTTTCTGGGGTAAACTTCTCTGAGTTCTTCAGTACTAGGCAAATGGAATTGAGAGAAATTAACTTTGAAAACAAAGATCACCCTTGTATCCAGAACCAAAAGTAGTGTTGGTGATAAAACACAATTGCTTGAATTTTGGGGACTTTCACCTGGAAGTTATTGTGAAGGTATTCGACTCCCTTGATATTCAGGAGAAGGGTACTTAGCTGGGAAGTCCACAGTCTAATTTGCAGTTTGACACCATACAACTGTCGAGACACTTATTCCAACTGCTCAAAGTAATTTTTCAGTTTGTCAGTTGGGATGACTTTAAGTACTTCTGCATTTTTTGTTTCACTTATTCCACATCAGGAAAACGTTTCCCTTTGAGGACTTCTTTCATCCTGGACTCTGGTTGAATGTTGAGCTGGGGTTGTCAGACTCTCATTACAAAACTCACCAAGTAGAAAGCCCTGGAAGTTATTGTGAAGAGGGTTGACTCCCTTGGTATTCAGGAGAAGGATACTTAAGCTGGGAAGTCCACACTCTAGTTTGCAGTTTTGTTTTGTTTTCTTTTGAGTTGGAGTCTCACTCCGTCGCCCAGACTACAATACCTATTATAAAACGTTTTATAAACCAGGCAGGAGCTCGGGAGGGCTGATAATTCTATAGAAGTTTCATACTAAAGGAATTTCTAGCCGGGTGCAGTGGTTCAGCCTGTATGTAATTCCAGCACTTTGGGAGGCCGAGACGAGAGGATTGCCTGAGACCAGGGATTCGAGACCTATTGGGAGCCGGCCACAGAGGCCCACTGAGCATTAGGGATCACGGAGGGCCATGGATCCCGAGACCGCTTGGACGTGTTCGGGA